AATCTAGGTAAAGTCCTTAAAGGTACTTCAAATTTAAACACATGCATGTATATGAGTTGTAGAGTTCATAGGTACAAGGGGCCTTTGCTAAACTTGCCTTCCTCAAAATTCTCCTCTTGATATTGCTGGTCACCTGACTGCTCCTCAGAAACCTTGAACTGATCACCCTCTAAATGTGTTCCAATTCACCAATCAAGCATCAATTCTAGTCATTACATGCATACAAATAGACTTATATTAGAACAGTACACTAAACAGTAGAAACATAGACTAAAAAGCCAATAAACTAATCTACGTACTGCTGCAAACACATGAGCGAAAGAATCACTCAAATTAGACTTAAAACGCAAAAGTTATGCATGAAATAAGGTTCCAATGGCATTTCTGTAAATAAACCGAACTCTTTTTTGAATTAAAACAATTAAAAACTAAATTCTAACGCTGGTTGGACATCATGCACTATTTTCCAAAAGTACAGGGGCTAAAACAGAAGAAAATATGACTGAAATAGAATACTTTTGAACTGATATGTACCGCGGGTTGATTTCATGAAAACCGAGGGGCTAAACTGCAAAAGTGTGTGGCGAGTCACGGTTGACCGCGTCACTGGCTGACTGGGAAGCCACATGGCGCCCTCTGGATGGTGCCGTTCACCACGCCTGTGGTGGGCGCGCTGACACGGCGCTGTGGACCGTGTCCATGGTCCAACTGGTGGACCGGTTACATAACCCGAAGGGGTACGTGATCTCGGCCGTCCATCTAAAATCTGACGGTGCTGGCGTGAAGGCATAGAGGGTCGCTAGGGAAGACAACTCTCGCGGCCAACGCCATGGCCGATGGCGAGTCAAGCTCGGCGGCGGACGCCGCAACGGCGATACCGGCCACGTAACTCCGAAACGAGGGCACCAAAATGTTGCGCACGATCACGTGAACTCAATACGACACAAAGCAAGGCAGAAATCCCCATCGGGACGACGGCTCCACGGTGGCGCCATGGCTGGCGGGCACTAGAACTTGTCGATACGGCACTCCAAAGCACCAAATTCTAAATAGGATGGGCGGGGAGCATGAGGAGTATACCACGAACTCGATGACGTGGTTCTCGACGTCCGAGAGGGCTCCAATGAGACCAGCGGCGTACGGCGGCGAGCTGAGGAAAAGAAAACATCACGGGTGAGTGCAATCTCGTGCAATCCGAGGCCAAAACGAGGAGTGGAGGGCACCTGCGGTTCCGATGGAGTACGACGGAGCTCCTAGTCGCGACTGCGAGGACCGACGAGCACTGGAGCGGGCGAATTGAAGCGGCGAAGGTGTGAGCTCAAGCGGTGAACGGGAAAGGAAGAGAGGAAGGGCTCGGCTTAGGGTTTTATAGGCGAGCGGGCGTGGCAGAGATGGGAAGCGAGCGCTCGAAGCTGTGAAATCAACGGATTTCGAAAGCTTTCCATTGCTGGCGCAGGCGCGGTGGCGAGCTGCCGTAGATGGCAGCGCCATCACCGGGATGAAGAAGGAAGGGGAAGGCTCATGGGTGGGTCCCGCGATGCAATGAGTGAAGAGAGAAGCGAGCGCGCGGCGTGGGCGTGGAGCAGCCTTCTGCCTGGGTCGGGCGTCAAGCTAGGCCGCGTTGCCAGGCTGCAGGAGAGCGGGCACGGAGCGACTCTAAGGAGCGGAGTGGGCCACAAGCAGGCCGAAGCTGTCGGGCTGCGTGCGGGAAGGAGGGAAGGGAGGGTGTGCGGGGTTGGGCCACCAGCAGGCCAGGCGCGGGAAGGGGAAGGAGGAAGGGGTGGGCCGGTGTGGGGTTGGGCTGGAAAGGGAGAAGGAGAGAGTTTTTCCAACAAAAATCCTTTTCCATTTCTAGTTTTCAAATCCAAGCCAAAATTCAAATGAGTTTGAATTTTTAACTCCAAATAACTTAGCCCTACACTCAACCAAAATCATGTACTTCAGCATGAATGCAATCAATCATGTTTCTAAGCCTTATAGTAAATTTTAATTAGCCAAAAATTATTATTTTACCTAGGTTATAATGCATCAAAAATTAAGTAAGTGCTCAAATTTTAATAACTAGATTATAAATGAATTTTTAGGGTTTTATACCATTAAACCATAAACCTAGCGTTTCCATTTGTTGCACATAAATAAACCAATAATATAACACGATTGACAGAGATTACCTTTGTTTACTAGTTTTATCATGCCTTGGCATCCTACTGATATATAATACAAAAAATTAATAATCACTTTAAACAATAAATACTAACGTATTTAGGGTTGCAAAATACACGTAATATATACCAAACCATTGCGTCAAAAATGAGGAGAGGAGAGAACATACCTTCCTCTCGAAGATTTATGGATCAAATCCAACTTTTCAAGGTCAAATTGCTCGATTCAAGAGATTAGGCGGTTTGGGGAGAGTAAAAACCCGAGAACAAGGAGGAAGAAATGAAGGAGCCTCGGCCAGGGAAACCTTAGCGTGGGTCTTGAATCCGAACTTGGCACCATGGATCTGGGCTCCGAGGTCGGCGCCGAGACCCATGGCTCCGAGGTTCGACGTCAAGGTCTGTGGCGCCGACCTCGGCGCCGGGGTCTATGGCGCCGACCTACCTGCCACGTCAGCGCCGCTTCGATGCCCCGTTTTGCCCGGCCAGGCATCTCGGCGCCAAGTTCTACGACGCCGAGACGTGTTACCTCGGCGTCATAGGCAACGGCGCCGACTCCAAGGATCAAAAGATTAGTTTACATCGTCCAGATGATTAAACTTAATTTTTTTTTTTAAAAAAGGACAAAAATGTAAAAAATTAGGACACAACGCAGTGTGTTACGGTTGCAGAGAGAAAAGGACTCCGTGCATCGGCTGTTGATTCACATGCCCATGTATGGGCCATGGCATGGATGAGTGATGACTGATGACAGTTGGTGAATACTAAAGTTTAGAAGATGTTACATCGTGTATTTGATACTAATTAGAAAGACTAAATATGAGTCTAATTAGGTTTAATAGATTCGTTTCGTAAATTAGTCTTAAACTGTATAATTAGTTTTGTAATTAATCTACGTTTAATACTCTAAATTAGTATCTAAACATTTGATGTGCCAGGGACTAAATTTTAGTACATGAAAACTAAACATGAATCCAGGGACTAAAGTTTAGGGTTGTTACATCGGGTGTCATATGAGGATGTCACATCGAGGGTTTGGATAATAATAATAAAACAAATTATAGAAGTCTCGGTGATCCGCGAGACGAATTTATTAAGCCTAATTAATTTATCATTAACATATGTTTACTGTAGCACCACATTATCAAATCATAGATTAATTAGGCTTAAAAATTCGTCTATAAAATTCGTCTCGGTCAGTGCATTTAATTTTATAATTAATCTATATTTAATATCTCATACATGTGTCCGAATATTCGATGTGATACTGCTAAACTTTTGTCCCAAGGAAAGGTTATACTAAATTTTAGTGTAACTCTAGCTAATGATTATAGCTTCGTAGTCACGGCATTGCAAGAACAAGTAAAACAACAATAATGAACCTTTGCACATGCTGAACTAGCGATTACAGCTTGTTGTGAATCGATGACCGGTGGATGCTGAAGCGTAAAGGCAACAAAAAGTGCCAAAAATCATCCTGTTCGCTGATTGATTTTGAGGTGATAAGTTCGAATAGTGCTGATTTAATATGAGAGAAAAATACTATTAGCTGGCTAATAAACTCGAATAAAACCAACAAACGAACGTAACCCCTCATGACCTGTCGCCTCCGGCGCTCCGATTCATATCCATTTCTACTTTTGGCTTGCGAGTTTCCATCACGAATGCGCCAATATGGAATTCATTTCTCTCCAGTACCTCATTCATCGGTTCATCGCAAGAAGAAATTCATCATTGCTACTTCGGCTCCTGACAATTTTGCACTCGAATTACTTGTCAAATTGAATAAATTTACATCTCAGTAACCTACAATTGCATCGCAGGCAATGTACAGCTGCGGTCCAATAATACTAGGCCTTGTTTACATTGTAAATTTTTGTAATCTGGACACCGTAGCACGTTTTGTTTGTATTTGACAAATTTTGTCCGATCATAGACTAACCAGGCTCAAAAGATTCGTCTCGTGATTTACAACCAAACTGTGTAATTAGTATTTTTTTTACCTACATTTAATGCTCCATGCATGCGTCCAAAAATTGATGTGACGGAGAGAGAATGAAAAAACTTAGAATTTTGAGGCAATCTAAACAAGGCCCTAACTAAAATTTTTATACATTCATCTTTTTTTTTTGCCAATAAAATTTGTTTATACATTATTTTCATGCCTAGGCCCTTGGGGATAGCTTGGAAAGTTCCTTTTTCAATCTTATACAAACTACTCTTATATAATTGGATCCATATCCATGCAAGCAATCCACAAGCTTTCCATCCAATAGCCCCACCTCCTGCAGAAATCTCCCTCAGAGCAGGTATAATAATCGCCTTTTAGCCGGCGAGGAGGATCCACGTCATCGAAAAAACAGCCACGTAAAGAGAGAGAATTTGGAGCGGGCGGTAAACTCCTCGCCGACTGCAGCGCAACGTACGAGGAGAAAACGTCTTTTCTAAGAAGTTGGCGTTGCTTTTTCCATTTCACGTACTTTGTCTTTGTGATCATTAAATGCTACAGCCTGTCAAATAGCTAAGTCATAATATGAGTTGGCTATATAACTGACTGTATATGACATGTCATGCTCTTGCAGCCGGCAGCAGGCTAAATTGTTAGACTTGCTCTCAAAGAACAAACTGAGAACCGGACAAAAAGGAAGAAAGCCAAAAAGGGAGCCTCCTTTCCAAGTTCAAAATTCGAAATTTCCTAGAGAAACCGAAACCACCATCTCATAAAAACCACCCACCCACCCACCGTCATCGCCGCACAAGCGCACGCCCTCCTCGCCGCGGACCAACTCCCAAACCCCACCCCACCTCAAGAGCCGAACGCGAGCAGCGGCGGCGGCCGCCATGGTGCGGTGCAGCAACGGCCTGCTGGGCCTCCTGAACGCGGGCGTGCTGGTCCTCGCTGTCGTCGCGCTGGGGGGCGGCGCGTGGCTCAGCCACCGCGCGTCCACCACCGACTGCGAGCGGTTCCTGGAGCGGCCCGTCATCGCGCTGGGGGTGCTCCTCCTCGTGCTCTCCCTCGCGGGCCTCGCGGGGGCGCTCTGCCGCGCCTCCTGCCTCCTCTGGCTCTACCTCCTCGCGCTCTTCCTCCTCATCCTGCTCCTCTTCGCCTTCACCGTCTTCGCGTTCGTCGTAACCAACCGCGGCGCCGGGTGGGTCGTCTCCGGCAGGGGGTACAAGGAGTACCGCCTCGGGGACTACTCCACCTGGCTTCAGAGGAGGGTCGAGAACTCGCAGAACTGGGCCAAGATCCGCAGCTGCCTCCAGGACGGTAAGGTCTGCCAGAAGCTCGCGTCCAGAAAGGAGACGGTCGCCCAGTTCGTCAACAGCAACCTCTCCCCGATCCAGGTACATACACCGATTGCCTAGTTCTCCACGTTCTAAGTATTCCTGGATTGTTGAATTTGTACCGAATTGCTGATCCTGTTCTGCATTCCACTTTCGGTGGAGGAAGTTTATCTTAAACAGTTTACCTCTAATGATTAGTTTTTTTTTTGGTAGATTCATTCGATTTATCATAGATCTCATCAATCATCGTAATCCTGTAGATTTCGCGTCATTTGCGGAGAAACGTGTGAACGTTGATTTCAAGTTCTTCTGTTAGAGTTTACAAGGTTATAATGATGGGCGACTGGCATATCTGTTAGTGCACATGGAGTTGGTACTGTTTCGTGAATTTTGCGTAGGACCCCTACAAGAATAGTTTAGATTCCATTTTTCACAAGTTTGAACATGTACCCCCATGATTCATATGCTGCATTGTTAATTAATTTGTTAGTTCCACTTGCATTATCTTTGAGCGTGGCTGCAGTTGCTTGCCTTTAGATACATGAAGCAGTTTCTGAGTGCATTGGGCGGTTATGCCAATTTGTTGGTAAAGAATATAAAAGTTTTTATGGCAGTGACCAATGAGTTGATGTTTCTTGATGAATCTATGCAATGGGCATTTCAGTTTGGGCAAACTGTACCCCCACTACTCATATGCTGCATTGTCGATTAATTCCCTAGTTCCTCTTCAATTATCTTTGAGTGTGGCTATAGTTATTTGGCTATAGATTCAGATAGCAAATTTTGACTGTATTGCATGGCTATGCCAGTTGGTTGGTAAAGATCAATCAAGTCTTTAGATAGCGACTAATAAATTGATGTTTCTGGTAAATCTATGAGACTGAATTTCATTGATGTTTCTGGTAAATCTATGCGACTGAATTTCATCGCACGTCCATGTAATACATTTTCTGATGAAACAAGAGCAATGTGATATAGTTCCATAAAAATCACTGCCTTGGTGAATGGTCATTTGTTCTTTTGCATCTGGGCACACGTTGTTCTTCTGAAGAAATTTGTATGGTCCTTGTACTGATTGTAAACTCGACTTGGATACCAAACTCCAAGTTATAATTGTAGTACCTCTTTTTTATATCTCTGAGGATGGTAAAAAGCTCTCTTCTGAAATTTTGATACATCCGGCATTTGTCTATTAATGAGATATGATGACTTGCTGAATTTAGTCTTCCTTTTCCTAAGGATGTTTGCTTTAGATTGCCATGTTATCTTTTGTGAATTACCAATAAATGATGCTGACTTTTGAATTTTGATTGACCTTCCTTATCAGTACCATAATATGTAGACCCCTCCCTGTGTTTAATTGCAGTCCACTGGTGCTACACTTAATTTGGCCTTCATAAGTACATATACTGATTACTATCTGCAACTGTATGGTGTACTGCTAGTTACAATACCTCTTATATGGAGTTCTGCCATTTATGGTTATATTGTAAGCTGTTGCACTACAACGTAGGGGTATCATACTATTGGTTTGTGCAGCAGGTGTGCTCTTACATGCAGACCATCATCTTGTTTAAATAATTGAAATATGTCTACTTCAGCCTTGACTTCATGAGCCAAATGTTCACTAAATATAGGAGTTCTTTGAGTTTTGTCTGCAACCTTGGAAATGTTGCTCTGTATGATAGTGTTTTTGTCTGAGCTGTTAGCCGACATTTGGAATTCTAATTTAGTAATTTCTATGTCTTTCCTGCAATGTCCCTCCATTGACAATTCCCTTGCGAATGTGTAACTGAATAATATATCATTGATGTTTTCATTCTTGTAATTTACTAAATCCAACATAGCCTGTTGACCTTGCCATATGATCACTTCACAGCCCTGAGCAATATTATACTCCACCCAGTTGAAACATTTTGCTTGAACTTTACACATTTTCATTCCATAAAGAAACTGATTTCTATGCAGCTAATAAACCTATCTTATGTCCAGTCTGGATGCTGCAAGCCACCAACAGGTTGCAACTTCACCTACCAGAGCGAGACTGTCTGGATCAAGCCCGCTGGCTTCAACACTACAACTGATGACCCCGACTGCACCACATGGTCGAACGACCAGACCGTGCTCTGCTACGACTGCATGGCCTGCAAGGCAGGCGTGCTCGCCAACCTGAAGAACGACTGGAAGAAGATCGCCACTGTCAACATCATCTTCCTGATCTTCCTCATCGTCGTCTACTCCGTCGGGTGCTGCGCGTTCAGGAACAATCGGCAGGACAACTCGTACCCGGCCTGGAAATGAGGTGCGCGTGGCAATGTATAGGTTGTTTAGGCTATGACGCTATGTGCCTGTGTTTCGGTGAGCTCGGTTCGCTCCTGTGTCTAGCAATCTACCATATGTATTAATGTGTCCGGGTCATGTCACTAGTTGATCCTATTTTGCCCGCGAACGCATGATGATACTGTCCGAGGGCTGTTATCGAGATATGTCAAAAATTTAGTCGTGTTCCGTGGCTGCTTATATTGAATTTTAACGCTTAAACTCTTCTACTTAATACAATGATACGCAAATCTTTTACGTATTTGAGAAAAAAAAATTAACGCTTGTGTTCGGATATGCACTGCTGAAAACTTCATGGATTCGTGCAGGAAATCATTGCCGACTTTGCTGAAATTTCATCGAAAAAAGTACCTTTAAACTGCAGGGAGCCAGGGGCAATGCTTGTCGAAAACTCGAAACAATTAGGATGCTACTCGCTTGCAGATACATAAAGCTTTGTACTTCTGATGAGATTGGAGCATGCTTGACAAACTTAAAGCTATGTACCATACACCGACACCGGACTTTATGTTTACACTTGGACACAACAGCGTAGAATACGATTATTTTAAGAAAGAAAGAAAAAAAAAAAAAAAAAGAAAAGCTATAATTTGGTTGACCTTTGCCGCTGGGTACCAGTATTCAGATTGAGGCATCCACATGTGCCATCTCCCAGTTCATCCCGTGGAGTACCGTGCTGGAGTCAACCCAAGAGCGAGCTGGATGGAGAAGAACTGAAGAAGACTAGAACAGTTTGTACTTATACCAACAATGGGGGGACTGTTTATAAAAAAAACAATGAGGGGACTGAATGAAGTCTATAAAACTGTTGAAGCGTTGGTGTCACACGCAGGGTATCCATGATTCAATGGACGATAGGTAAACTTTGTGTTACAACGATGAAAATATGGAACTGATGAAATGTGTTACGTGTTGATGGTATGTTAATTAGGACTGGTAGTGGGTTAGGTTTTCAAGTGAGTATATATTGGACGGGTGAGAATTGGCTTATATTTTCAATGGGATAGTTTTTTTTAGGGGATTCAATGGGATAGTTGAGTTGGATTTAATAGAAAATTGGGTTGGGTTGTTGTTGGACTGGACTCTCTTTTTTGTTTGTACGAATCGAATGGGTTCATTCCATGGGTTGGTGTTGTTTTTTTATAATTTGTATAGAGTCAAATTCACTAGCAGCCCTTAGACTTGTTTGGCTATGTCATCCGGTCCCTAAGCTCGGAATTTGTCCGTTTAGATCCTAACTTGTTTGGATGTGTTATTTCGGTCCCTAATTTCGCAAATCGTCCGTTTAGGTCCTCAAACTTAATCTTGCGTCCAGGGCCTCGTATAGAGCCGCCACCGCTCCTCGCTCCGCCGCCGCCACATCTAGGGCCCATCTCCTTCTTCCTCTCCGGTGCGTCTCCCGGAGACAAGAAGGAGACGGGACCCATCCTTTTTTCCCGTAGTTTTCTATCTGTTTAATAAGGGTTTGGTCTAATAAATCTTTCGGTGAAATCAGATGATTTTCGGTAGGCATCGTATTTCCTGCGATGACTTCGGTGATTGCCACGACGAGATCGTCGCTGCAGGCGTCGATTTCATCGGCAGACGGCCAATTTGTGGCCTTTATCTGCAAGGGGAGGGGTGCTTCTAGGAGCCCCTACGAGGACAGCGACTCCGGATCATCGATCTCATCGTCGATGGTCGCGGAGAGGAATTCAAGGTCTCCAGGTGATGATTCTGCAGCTTATGCCATACCCAATGATGTAACTGTCGATATTCTTTCACCGATTTAGATGCGTTTTGGACTGGTTCCGAAGCGTTGGATCTTGCGGCATGTCCAATGTTTTGGGGTTGGTCGTTGGATTCGGCATAAGGACTACACTTTGGCTCCGGCGTTCGAGAGAAGCCATTGGGGAAGAAGACGATGGAAGAATCTGGATAGAACATCATGTATTTTTTATTTCAGATTTTTTTCATGTGTAATTTGGGGATGTACTGTGCCAAGATTTAATATAAGTCCCTTTCCCTTCGCAAAAAAAACATAATCGACTATGCCATTCCAGTCCCTAAACTTGCAAATCCCTCATTTAGGTCTCCAATCTTTGTTTGGGCCTCACGGTTGGTCCAAACGGGTCAAGACCGGTGCTCGTATGCTAATATGGCATGTTAACATGTGGGACCACCCTCCCCCTTTCTCTCTTGAGCTCCCTCTCCCCTATCTCGTGCCTCTTCCACGTGCCCTCGGGCTATACAACAACGGCACCCGTGTTTCTGAAAGTGCAATCAAGCCCTAATTATGGGTTTTGGTGATAATGACCACGCAATTAGAGAACTAATAAAATTTATCGAGATAACAAGTAGGGAATCTATATTCGAGGATGTTACACGAAACGGATGAGCCCCCAATTACAAATGTTGATGGTTTTAAACTCAAAGGAGGTTTAAATTCTTTTATATTTTAAATTTGAGTATAAAAAAAGCCGTACTATAAAGGGGGCACAATGCTTAAGCTAACATATGCTACCAAGTGCTCAAACCTACACATGCATCCTCAGATTCACAGTCAAGACAGCCAACACTTCACTCTTACCCTTGCTGTCTTGCCTGGTGCGGCAGTGTCGCACCTATAGAGAGGCACTGCCGTACTTGAACTGTGGCACTGCCGCGACTTAAGTAACCATTGGGCCTGGGGGTATTTATACCTTCCCCTTCCTCCCCAACGTTACTCTTCGGCTCCCCACTCATTCAGCTCGCCCAAAAACAGAAGAGTGTCATTCTCTCTCTCCTCCATTGGTGACCTTGAGCTCACAAGCTTTCTCTTTGATTTCTCCATCAATCTTTGAGAGAAAAAGGTCCTAAATTCAATTAGAGAGCAGATCCTTTGATTCCCCAACTCAAAAGAGCACTTGATTCAAGCTTTGCTCCTAGCCGGCTAGAGCATCGTCCGTGGAGCTTGCCAACTTGTGTGGCAGCCCCGGGAAGTTTGTAACCACCTCTTGAAGCTAGTAAACTCACCCCTCATCTCAAGAGTTGAGTCTCTTGATTTGAGAACGTGGAAGGGTTGCAAAGCCCTAAGCCTTAGTGGCTAACCTCAACAACGTGAACGTAGGCAAGCCTTGGTGGCAAACTGAACCACGAGTTAAATCATCGTGTCACCTTGTGCTTGATTTACATCATTTGCATTTCATATTGTTGTTGAGGTGATTTCTAGGATTTGTGGTCGATCTACTTGTGTGTTGTGTTACTACCACTTCTGGCTCTCGATCTGTGAATCTCATACCAACAGGAAGCTAAGAAATTTCTCCAATTTAAGTTTACATTCACTGATTTTGAATTGTAACTCGAAGTTGTATGCAGGTGCGGTAGTACCGCTGTTCTGGCCCAACAGTGCCGCGAGGTCAGAGCGGCAGTGCCGTAGGTTCAATTTGATGAAAGTTTGAGTGTTTATTTTGACAAGCCTATTCACCACCCCTCTAGGCTAACCAGAGATTCTATAGTTTCCCTAGGCCCTCATGAGTGGGCTAAGCGCCGCCATGACCAGGCGAGCCCTAGTCGAGCACTGCCCTGGGCACACCTGGGTGCCCACCTTGATGTTGCCAACAGATGGAGTTAACATAGGGTCACAGATGTCAGCATGCCACATTAGTATATGACACGGGTCTAGACTCGTTTGGCCATGCGACCCAAACACAGATTGAGGTTCTAAATAGGTGATCTGCGAGTTTAGGAACGGGAATAGTACAAATGGACAAGTTTGAGAACCTAATAGGAGATTTACAAGTTTAGGGACCGAGACGCCACAACCAAATAAGTTTGAAGACCTAAACAAGCGATATATGAGTTTAGAGATCAAGATGACACAGTCACACAAAATCCGAGGACAACTGGTGCACTTTGCTCTATTGTATAGGTACATATGTTCATTGATTAAAAAATTGGTTGGGTGTACTAGTTTGTCGTGGGATTCACATGTTCAACTAAGAGGACGATGTAGTTCCTTATTACATTAAATTATTTATAACAAATTTCAGTCAATTTCGCTAAATTTTTGAAGTGTGAACGTGAACTTTTAGTTCTAGGTCCCGACTTTGATGTGGGACCTATATATTGATCTTGCCGTGTAAATTGGCATATCATGTCACTTTGAATCATTCTCAAAAAAATTTCGTTAATTTCGCTAAAATTTTAAGATGTGAATATGAGCTTTTAGTTCTAGGATGCGGCTTTTGATGCGGTGCCCACATGTTGATTATGTAATACCGATTGACGAAGGCTCCGTAGTTTCTAGAGAGAAACTGCAGAATCACTACCAAACGATTTCACGTGTAAGTATTCACTAGAGATTTGTTTCTCTGTTTGCACTTAGAAATGAGAAACGGTTAAAAGGTGGCTTCACTGGATTCGATTCTTGTTTACCCCTCTGTGCTAGCAAATGATTTTTTTTCTATAAATTATTTTTTAGCGCAGCAAGTTAGAATGAGTTGTATTTAAGTTTTTCTTTGTCCAAAAAAAAGTTCAGAATTTTTTAAGCATATTTTTATTTATACGACGTTTTATATAAAAACTTCTATTTGAGAATAAGGATCCAGCATAATAGCCAAATGACATTACATCGATGCATTGCATCCGTCTACATATAAAACCAACGTTGCTGAGAGCCTGAAATAGTATATGTATTGGGCAAACTCTGTAAAAGCTAAAATCGTTATTATTGAAAACAATTGATTTTCAACGTAAACCACACATGCATATAAAACCAACGTTGCTGAGAGGCTGAAATATTATATGTATCGGGCAAACTCTGATCAATACTGTTCTTTTTGGTATTTTACTCCCTCTTTTTTTTTTTTTTTGGCAATGAGTGGAGTGAGACTACATTGGCACCCATTTCTGTATTGATTTACAATGGAAGTGTCTATACAACATCCGGCTGTTTCAGTAAAACAAAACAACCGGCTATTTCAAGAGAAAGAAACGGCCGG